GTACGCCAAACCTCAGCTTACAGTCCATTTCTTCCAATGGCTTCACGGATTCCTCGTTTATCGCCAGAAGAAGCGTCATATTGTTTTTTTGTGTGCCCTCGTCCTTGATGACTACCCAGTCATTCATTGGCACATTTTGGTTCTGCCGTTGTAGCAGCTGGAGAACTTTCTCATGCTCCATCTTCATAATTGGCAGCCAAATGCGGGCCCTTGGTCTTCTAGGGATATCGTTGGCTGGGATAAGCTTTAGCCTTAAACCTTCCCATGCATCACTTACCTTAGCAATGCAGTTGCCAAGAAATACTTTAGATAGCTGGTCATCACATTTGAAGACCCTGCAACCACGAACCACTTCTGATGAATCAAAGCCTGGTGTAGGGGCGTCTAGATTTGTTAGAAGGTGTTCCATCACCATTTCAGCCAGCTTGGGCTCAATCTCGCCCCATTTCTCCAGCACCTTTTTTCCGTTGCCGGTAATATCATCAATGAGCGCCACCTGTAGCTCATCCCTGGCTACTTCGTTATATGCCCTTTTCGCACTCGTTGACGGTTTACTAGTAGAACTTGTTCTCGCTACCTTGCTTTTTGAAGTATGGGCCGTCTCGTCCTGAGACCGATCCCTCTTCATTGCCTTTGCGGGTTTTGGTAGGGTGGCCTGGTATTCGTTATACTCATCGACCACCTTCTGATATCGTACTTTGTCTGTACGGTCAAACGTCTGTTCTTTACCTTCAGCTTCATTTTTAGCAATCTTGCCAAGAATGAACATGGCCTTCTGGTACCTTTGACGTCTGATCTTTGCCTCAGACTTTTTTGATTTCTCGGCAGGCGCACTATGGCTGGCGCGCTTGTCTGCCGATTTTACTGTTATGTGAGAAGTAGGCGCAGTGCGGCTGCTACTGCTTACTTTGGGTAGTATGGCGGTTTCGACTCGCTCGTTTTCTTGGCTTGATGCCAGGAGCTCGTCTTCGGAACTGGTACCTAGTTCCTTGTTAGTTTTCTGTTTATTCAAATTTTTTAAAGAGTCCATAAATGTTCCCACGAGTGTAGGGGAAAGGGAGGTCGTCCGAAGCATAGCCCCCTTTACTTCAGAAAGGCTGAATTGAAACCGGAGGTCGCCAGGTATCCGGAGTCGACCGTTCTAAGACACACTTACGCAGTGCCATTCATCCTTGGGCACGGTCGTTCATACACCCAGGATTGCGGGTTTTATCGAGTTTTCCTCTCTAGATCCGCCATAATATGTGGCTCTGCACCACGTGGCTCTGTCCACTAGACACCTAGTGGACCTACACACTTCCATTCATTCTAAAAACACAAAGAACATACATGCATACATAGAGACAAAGACAGACATACATGCACATAAACTACAGGACAACACAACTACTGGTAGTTCTTTGTTGTACCCACAAGCCAGACCGACAAAAAGGTCTTCTGACCATTGCATAGACAATGAGCAGGAGACCCAAAGTCAGCAAGCTTGCCTGTAGCTAAGCCCCTACACCACGTCAAGGTGCCTACCACGTAGGGGGGAGCACCAGTAGTCTCGATGAAATGTTCAACGTGCGTGTCACACGTGCGAGAGTTATCACGCAATGTGGCTAGATCACGATATTCATTCAACAAAGAACTGTAGTCACCTGCAATAGAGTTGGCTCGGATGCCGTTCACTTGCCCAACTGCTGCAGCGCCTCTCGCTACTAATAACGTTTTGTTGTCCATTAGCTGTTTTCGTTTCATGTCAACAAGTAAATCATAATACCTTAAGAAATCTGCGCCAACTATGAGATAGTTAACATCCGCCACCACAAATGTCTATGGGAAATCGCGCCTTAAACCAAGGGATAACGACAAACGTTTGGTGCCGTATGCGCGTATCGGTGTGCCATTAGCAGCAAACAAGCTGGGTAATAATGAAACAACTGACTTACCTCGTTTGATACCGTATTTTTTCGGTAGTACAGAAAGATCCGCTCCGGTGTCGATAGGAAATGCGGTTGACATCGCCGGATCTCGTATTGTCAGTCGAGCTATAATTACGTTGCCCTCCAACGGTTCGACGTCGATTACGGCATGCTTAGTTTTTTGACTTTTCAATAGATGTGTACGTGCATGGCTGACGACATCTGCGTGCTTGCTCCCCGAACCTACTATAAAACCAGCACCAACCGGAGTGGCGACTTCGAATGCGATCACAGTCTGCGTGAGGGCTGTTGCGTTCTCGACGGCTGGCGTCCACCAAAATCCAATCTGCTTAACCGCTTCTCAATTTGATCCAAACGCTGGCACAACATGGCTGTCTCGTTCGAAACGCTGCTTCCACTAGATGACGCTGCAGCTATTTGATGATAATCGCCCGCTTCACAAATTCTATCGGCCAGTTTAGCTAATTCTACCAGGTCAACATTTGATGTTTGTAAAATGGCACGTACCTGCGGAGGTAGACGTTGGAGCCAAAGTGACTTCAGGAATTCGTTACTAACTTTATCCTTCGCTAGTGCTGTCAACTCATTCCACAACTGCGATGGTCGACGATCTCCTAATTCGATCTCAGAAAGGAGCCTCTGGATCTTGCGTTGCTCACTTTCACCAAACCGCTCTATAATCTGGTTCTTCAAGTAACTGTATTTACCAGTTGCAGGCGGGTGTAAAACAGCATCGGCTACATCAGCAACGACGCTGGACTCGATTGCTGCGACGACAGTGTTGAATTTCGTAACGTCACTAGTTATAGCGGTGACTGCAAACTGCGCCTCGATTTGCGCGAACCAAATTTCTAGTCGTTCGTGCCAAAATGGCGGTACCTTGACGGACATGCGACTCACATTACCTTCTGAAAACTCACTCTCTCGCTGCACCGCTGCGGCTTCGTTAACCGTTGACAAATACATGCTGCTTCAAAATGTTATTGGCAAAAATATTGTTCAACTAATTTTGGTGGACGTAACCAAAGGACTCCACACTTTGCTAATAGATAAAAACACAAAAATTTAACAACAATAAACAACTTTATTTAAGAACGAAATTGGAAACGTTTTCCTTAAAACAAATTAATAAACTGAAAATATTTTACATTGAATTTTACATTTAAATTTCAAATAATTCACAGACTACTGCGTCGCCACAGCACTATTAATTGCACAGTCATGTGTCAATATGAAGTTACAATATTAAGATTTTATGTTATTGATACCATATATGAGCCGCTTTTGGGTTTAGACGCTTGTTCAAAATTAAATTTAATAAAACGAATTGATTCAATACAAACAGGTGGAAAAGAGCAGTTTATACAAAAAAAACGCAGATATTTTTGAAGGCTTGGGCTGTTTCGTACAAAACGTAGAAATAAAATTGAGAGCGAACTATACACCGGTTTTAAAACCCGCTTGCAGAATACCGTTAGCTTTGACAAACCGTGTAAAATCTGAATTGAAACGTATGGTTGATCAAAGCGTTATTGAACGAGTCGATGGACCGGTGGAACATGCATCAAACTTAGTCATAGTGGAAAAGAAAAAAGGTCAATTAAGGTTGTGCACTGATCCGCAGGATATTAATGAAGATATTTTGCAAGAACATCATATAATACCATCTTTTGAATCGATCGCTGCAAAATTAGCAGGTAAGAAATACTTCACAGTACTTGATTTGAAAGAAGGCTTTTGGCAGATTGGTTTGAGTTTAAAGGCCAGCGAAACTTGCATATTCAACAGCTCGTTTGGGTGCTATTGATTCAAGCGCTTACCTTACGGTATAAAAATCGGATCAGAGGTATTTCAAAAGTACAATGAACGAAATTTTAGCGATATGGAACACGTTATTGTTTTTATAGACGATATTTTAATCGCGGCGGATACTATGGAAGAACATGAAAAAATTTTGGAAAAAGTAGATGAGCAGGCGAGGCAGCTTAATATAAAATTTAATAAGGATAAAATACAGTTTAAAGTTAAAGAGGTAAAATACCTGGGTAAAATAATTTCTGAAAATGGCATGAGATGCGATCCAGATAGAATAACAGCTATTTTGAATATCAGTAAGCCGAAAGATAAAAAAGATTTACAAAAACTATTGGGTATGGTGAATTAATTGCGAGAATATATACTAAATTTATCCGAAACTTCACAGCCATTAAGAGAATTGCTTAAACACTGTGTATTATTCCAGTGGCAGTCAATCCATGAAAATTGTTTAAAATTAATGAAAGAAATGATAACTAATGCTCAAACTTTAAGTATGTTCGATGATAATTTACCAGTCACAATTGAAACTGATGCATCAAAATTTGGTATAGGTTGTTGCATCATGCAGAATGGTAAACCTATTGCTTTTGCCTCTAGAAGCCTCACAGATACTGAGGTAAATTATGCGCAGCTGGAAAAAAAGTTACTAGCAGTCGTCTTTGCTTGTCGTAAATTGCATTACTACATATATGGCAAACAAGTAACGGTTAAAAGCGACCATAAGCCTCTTGTCGCTATAATGGAGAAGAATTTCTGTAAAATTCCCTCAGCTGGATTACAACGTTTAAAGCTAAGTTTAATAAAATACGACATAAATCTGATTCACGTTCCATGTAAAGAATTATACATTGCTGATCTGTTATCAAGATGTTATATTGAAGGCGAAATACGTACAGAAAAAGAAGATTTAAATGAATTCGTTCATTCAATTAACATTACAGATGAACGCTTGAATGAATTTAGAGCAGAGCTTGTGAAAGATAATTGTGTAAAGCAGTTAAAATATTTGCTGTTAACTAATTGGCCAGAAAATAAGAGTAAACTTAGTTATGATGTGAAATTTTCTTGTAAGTTCCGCAATGATTTGATCATTGAAAATGATATCATATTTTATTATGATCGAGTAGTTGTGCGAAGTTCATTACGCGATTATGTTTTGACAAGTTGCATATTTCTCACATGGGTATCGAAAAGACAAAAAGGAAAGCTAGAAGCCTGATATATTGGACCAAAATAGAACTAGATATCGAAAATATGATAAATAATTGTAGTTCCTGCCAAAAACATCGCGCAACAAATATAAAAGAACCTATGTTATCTCATCAAATACCTGATTTATCATATAATAAACTCGGCCTCGATATTTGCGAATATGCAAAAAAGACTTATTTAGTTGTTTCAGACTATTATTCAAGATACTTAGACATAATAGCATTAAAAACAAAAACAGCAAGTAAATGCATAGCAAATTTAAAAGTGTGTTTTTCGAATCATGGAATACCACTTGAAATTGTTGCCGATAATATGCCATTTAATTCATTACAATTCAGAAATTTTTGTAAATCGGTAGATATAAAATTAACCACAACAAGTCCGCGATATGCTCAGTGTAATGGTTTTGCCGAAAAGTCAGTAGGTATAGCTAAAAGTTTAATTAAAAAAAGCTCTGAAAATGAACAAGAGCTATGGCTTGCTCTGCTTGATTAAAGAAACATTCAAAGAAATCGATGCCTCGCCGTCAGAATTATTAATGAACAGAAAATCTAGAACGCTACGACCAGTGAAAACAAACTTGTATCGACCTCACGTAGTTCCAAACATTAGCAGAAATATAACGAATAAATGTTATTATACAAAATAGTATTACGATCAAAATGCTAAAAACAAGACCAAATTTAAAAAGGGAAAAAGGTATGGTATCAACATATGCAAAAAGAATGGATCAAGGCGATAGTGGTTGACATACATCCCTCCCCACATTCCTATTGGGTACAGCTTGAAGATGACTCAATTTTACGCAGAAATTCGAAATGGTTGCGTTTACGCAAAAATAATTAAATATGCTTATTATTGTATTAAGTATTAGTCTACCTACATGAATTCAGTTTATTTTAGAATATCTATGTTATAATTGAAATTGAACTATTTCAATAATGACTCCTTACGTAAAAATATTTGTAATTACCTTAAGAAGAGATATGTTATATATATGTAAATTTGTAATTAGTTATATACACATAATTGTATATTTTCATTAGATATAAGTATAAAGAATAAAGAGTTGTTGCTGAGCATGCGTACAAATAACACAGTCATGTCTTTCGAATGGAAGAAAATGTTCCAACTAGACAGGTGGTTGATTTCTAACCGATGTAATCAAATATCACTACAATAGGTGGACAAATCGGTTAAGGGCGTTCGAATCTTCGCTGGAGAGACTAAGTGCCCATTAATGTAGTGGTACACAGCACTACCAACAGGGCTGTTGGACCCGGCCAAGTACGATTCACGTCTGTGAGGCTAACTAAGTAAGTAAGTAAGCGACACGTAAAGGGGTTGAAACTATCTACAAACGTGTGATGAAATATTAAATATTCTCACATTGATTTTGCTCTTTGGTATTGGAAAGGGCCCAACTTTTTTAATTTCAGACCGAATTTTTCTTAATACTTGTGCAATTTGGTTATATCACAAGATATAGTTGAAAAAGGATTTTCTAATATTCAAATTAATTGAAAGTATAACGATTGGTTGACTGAAAGAGCGTTTTTTGCAGCCAAGAACAATGACTCTTCAGAGTTTCTTCAGAGGCAGTAACTTACAAATCTGCCGGCACTATTTTAAAAGCAGCAAAAACTGTTAACTATTCAACACAATGTTTGTATTCACTCGATCTGTCAGATATGCTACTGCAATTATAAATCGGAGTGTCAATTATCACGTTAAATTCAAAGCCAATTAATGCAAATGCTTTTGTCTAATAAATGAGTACTTTAAAGATTTGTGCATGGAATGCAAACAGCTTAAGCTAGCATAAACTTGAACTCACAATCTTCACGTCCCGAGAAAGTGTGGATGTAATGCTTTACTCAAAAACACATCTAACAAATAAAAATTTCTTCTCTATTCCTGGTTATTTATTCTATAAAACCAATCGCCCTGATGGGAAAGCACACGGTGGTACAGATATTTTGGTACAAAGGCGTCTAAAACACAATTTTATAGGTACATATGCTCATAATTATATGCAAACCACATCAATATGCCTCAAGCGCAAAGGAAAAAATTTAACTTTATCGACAGTTTACTGCCCCCTCGTTTCAATATTACTGAGACCTGATTTACGGATAACTTCTTAACTCTAGGTGATAGATTTCTTGTAGGAGAAGATTACAATGCCAAGCACATGTATTAGGGTAAACAGCCTTGCAATTTCATTCTAAATGGAAAAAATGCATTAGACGTAATCTCTCCTGGGCAGCCAACATATTGGCTTGCCGATAACAATAAAATACTAGACCTAATATAATTCGCCGTGATCAAAGGCATAAGTAGAAATTTTATCTCAATATACACAAGCTGCGATTTGTCTTCTGACCATAGTTAGTTAGTTAGTTGTGGTGGAGGGAGGACGAATCCTCCTCAAATAGCTAAGGATGAAAGCCGTTTTGAGTCCACAAAAACCTCGTAAAAGTGGGTAGTAGATAGAGAGTCAAACTAGAACCAACCAGAGGCATTAACAAAGGCAAGAATCTGGCCAATGCTGATGCTGGAGATATCGCTAAGTGAGTTGAAGAAAGGGGCCCCTAGAAACTTAAACCTAGTTCTGGCCAGACCCGGACAAAAACACATCAGGTGTTCTGGTGTCATTTCTTCAAGTGTTGGTAGACACGCACTACATGAGGTACCACAGGAAAGGCCAAGTCTGGCTCCATGCCGTCCTATGGACCAGTGACCCGTAAAGATAGATACTAGCTTAGAAACCTCAGATTTATTTCTACAGATTAAGTCAGAGGTTCTATATTTGGAATAAATGGGCCAAGTAGCCCTTGACCTGGCTGCTGACAGAGTAAGGGTCCACTCACTATTTGCCTTTCGCAAAAAATGGTCACAAATTAGCCTACGCCCGTAGCTGACAGGGGCAGGGATCGAAATAGGGGTACCCGTGGAAGAGGCGCCTAGCCTAGCAAGCTCGTCGGCGCGCCCATTTCCCACAATATTAGAATGCCCGGGAACCCACACTAGAGTAACCTTGGACCTCTCACTTAGTTCAGAAATAATTTCCTTACATTCTTCTACTAATCTTGATGACAGACAGACTGCTGATAAAGCTTTAATAGCTGCCTGACTGTCAGTTAGAATACAGACCTCTTTTCCGTGAAGGCGCGTATTTAAAGCAAGAACACATGCCCTAAGGATGGCAAAAACTTCAGCCTGAAATATTGAGGTGGAATCTGAGAGGTGGTATGATTTACTAATCATTAGGTCCGTAGAAAAGATTCCGGCTCCAACGCCCTCATCCATTTTAGACCCGTCGGTGTAGATCGCTATCTTTCCTAGAGTTGTAGGCAAACCCGCCTCCCAATCTCCTCTTGAAGGAATTATGGTGGCGAAGTTATTATCGAATAGTAACCGAGGACATAGGTAGTCTGAAACCCTGACATCATCTATCGGATAGAGTGATGCGATATTACCATGTCCTAAAGCACTCGAGCGCCAACAGTTTAGATCATTAAGCCTCTGCGCGCTGAGAGTAGCAGCTTGCTTGATGTAAATATCAATAGGTAGCAAGTTAAGTATTACATTGAGCGCACTGGTGGGGCAAGATCTTAGAGCCCCAGTGGCTCCCACACAGGCAGATCTTTGCATTCTGGTTAGTCTTTGAACAATGCACTGTTTGTTCAATGAAGGCCACCACACCAGACATCCATATGTTAATATTGGCCGAACGACGGCTGTGTAAAGCCAGAGAATCACTTTGGGCTGCAATCCCCAGCTCTTGCCGTACATCCTTTTGCACGCATAGAAAGCCACACAAGCTTTACGAATTCTTTCGTCGATGTTGGCTTTCCAGTTAAGTTTTGTGTCAAGAATTACTCCTAGATACTTAACTTTGTGCGAAAGAGTTAATCTTTGGCCATTCAATCTTGGCAGCGGAAAGTTAGGAATTTTATATTTTTTGGTAAACAGTAACAGTTCTGTCTTAGAAGGATTAACACCTACGTCACACCTTCTGACCATTCTCCAGTTACATTTTGTTTACTTGATGCTCCTCAGTTACGAGACTGTTCCTATAGCATTACAAGTTCTAGAACTAACTGGCTCAAAAATAAAAAGAACATTAGTTCAAACATACCCACAAATTACAAGATAAAGTGCAAGTCTCATATTTAGGACGCAGCCTCGATTTTAAACTTAATTCTGATTTCAGCAGCAGAAAACTCCACCTTAGGGATGGATAAAGTTTACACATCCAATAAAGTAAAATAAAGGTTAAGGAGCGAATAACAAAAATGTAGGTCCCTCTCAGTGAAAATTTTATTTAAGGAAGCCCAAAGAATACTTAGATCTGCATTAAGCAAGGAAACCAACGTCAGGCAATATAATTATATTCAAAATCTATGTCCAAATAGCAAAAAACCAATCAGCCTTATGGAATGCTAGCAAAGATATCAATTCGCCCATAGAATCCGATTCTCTAATAAGAAACTCTCTTGGAAACTGAGCGCGAAGCAATAAAAAAAAAATATGCGGTATTTGCTAGTTACCTAAAAGCGATTATTCAACCAAATCCTGCAACATGACATTATGACTTTCCCACTCAGCGTTACCCTTTTTGGCCATAAATTTTAAATTTTTAATGTCATTATTAAGTTTGGCTGTTACCCAACAGAGTGGGAAACATTTATTATTATTATTATGATTCATGAATCAGGCAAAGATCTCACGCTTGCCACTTTATACAGGCCAATAAGCTTACTGCCATGCATTTCTAAACTCTTTGAAAGAGCACTGATTTTAAAAGTAAATCCATTCCTTGACGTTTAAAACTTAATATCCTCGCATTAGTTTGGTTTTAGGGAAAAAAAACATGGAACTATTGAGCAAGTGAATTGTATAACGAACGAGAGAAGACACGCATTTTAGCTCAGAGAATATTGTTCTGTGGTATTTCTCGATATTAAACAAGTACTTAACAAAGCATGACATATTGGGCTCATATATAAGATACGCTGTCTAGTACCTGCAAACGTCAGTTTTAGAATCTTCAAAGTCAAATGTAAGTCATGTACTTCTACTAATTTTCCAATAGAAGCTGGCGTTTTACGAGAAAGTGTTCTTGGCCCTATCTTGTATGTACTTTACACATCTGATATCCCAATAGCTAGTTCGGTTGTCACCATAGCATAAGCAGATAATATAACGTACTTAGGTATTCACCTAGACAGACGACTACCTTGGCGCAAACATATTGAAGCCAATAAATTCAAATAAAGCTAGTGCAATTTAGAGGCAGATTCTCCCTGTGCCTAGAATATAAAGTAGTCTTGTATAACAGCATCATAAAACCAATATGGACTTATGGTATCTAGCTATTTGGTAATGCTAGTGCTTCAAATACGTTACGTAATAGGGAACTCAAATCATTTGAAAGAATTGATAATAAATGAAGAAAGTTTTTGCACGAAATCACAAAACAGAGTAGT